CACAGAACTTAGAAGACAGAACCTACACAGAACCTAGAGACAGAAGAACTTCGCTGGAGAGAACATGGCAAAAGATCCTGGACAGAACCTGGCTACAGAACTTGGTTGGAGAACCTAGACAGAACCTGGCTGAAGAACCCGGCTACAGAACCTGGCGACCGAACCTGGCTGGAGAACCTAGCGAGAGAACATGGACACAGAACCTGGCTGGGGATCGTAACCAGAACTTTGCAAGAGAACAGACACAGAACTTGGCTAGGGATCCTGGCTAGGCTGCTGATCAACTGAACGCTTTCTCCGTATCATTCCTTCTTCGCCGACTCCGTCCACACCTATGGGGAACCCCTGGACCTGCTGCGGTTGGACCCCAGCAAGCAGCCAGCAGCCTGGGCTCCTTTCCCCACCTCGTTCCTCTCCTGTTGCTTCTTCTATCCTAGGCTCTGTCTTGTTTCACTGTCCCCAGCTTTTATTTTTTTTAATATATTTTATTGATTTTTTACAGAGAGGAAGGGAGAGAGATAGAGAGTTAGAAACATCGATGAGAGAGAGACATCGATCAGCTGCCTCCTGCACATCTCCCACTGGGGATGTGCCCGCAATCCAGGTACATGCCCTTGACCGGAATCGAACCTGGGACCTTTCAGTCCGCAGGCTGATTGAGAGGAAAGTATAGAGGTATCAGAAGAGTTCCAAGTTTCAGGCTCCCCATATGGTTGAAATGGAGAATTTAAGCAACGACTTATTCCTCTGATTAAGAGAAAGATGTGCACCCTGGCTGGTGTTGCTCAGTGGTAGAGCAATGGAGCATTTGAGCATCGGCCCAGGAAACAAGAGGCCACCAGTTCGATTCCTGGTCAGGGGTCATGCACAGATTGAGGTCTTGGTCCCCTATGGGCGTGCAGGAGGCAGCCGATAGATGATGTTTCTCTCTCGTCGATGTTTCTATCTCTCTGTCCCTCTCCCTTCCTCTCTCTCTAAAAAAAAAAAATCAATAAAAAAACACCTCAGAGTTCCACTAAATAACCATTTTTGTTTACTTTTATTTTTCAAATTTCAGTTTAATTTTTAAGATTTAAGTGTAGTTGGTATCAAATATTATATTAGTTTCAATAAATCAATAAAGCCTCTATTTTTGCATCAGGTAATATCATTAATAGCTAGAAGTCAAAATAAGATCAGTAATAAAACCTGGTATAAATTTTTTAAGACTATTTTTAAGAGCAGTTTCAGATTCTAAGCAAAAAAAGATTTCCAGACGTTATCAACAATAGACTGACTTTCAGAGAAACAGAAATCAACCTTTTCTTCCTCAATCCTTGGCCTTCCAGCTAATTCTACAGCCAAAGAGAAAGGGAAGGTGACTGAACCAGCAGGAAAGGATGAGGGGAAAAAGCAGGCGTTCCACAGGAAAGGGGAAGCACTGGTGTTTCCGAGAATCTCAAGAGCTTCTGCTAACAGAGAATCAAGAAGTTTCCAGCCCTGGCCGGTGTGCAGCAGTGAATAGAGCGCCGGCCTGCGGACTGAAGGGTCCCGGGTTCGATTCCGGTCAAGGGCATGTATCTTGGTTGTGGGCACCTCCCCAGTGGGGGGTCTGCAGGAGGCAGCTGATCAATGTTTTTCTCTCATCACTGTTTCTAACTCTCTATCCCTCTCCCTTCCTCTCTGTAAAAAATCAATAAAATATTAAAAAAAAAAGAGTTTCTAGCCCTGGCCAGTGTGGAGCAGTGGATAGAGTGCCAGCCTGCAGACTGAAGGGTCCCAGGTTTGATTCCCATTGGGGCACATGCCTGGGCTGTGGGCTCCATTGACCCCCAGTGTGCCATTGATCTTTCTCTCTCTCTGTCCCTTCCTCCCTGAAATAAATAAAAACATATTTTTTTTTAAAAAAAGAAGAGTTTCGCCCTAACCGGTTTGGCTCAGTGAATAGAGCGTCAGCCTGCAGACTGAAGGGTCCCAGGTTCGATTCCGGTCAAGGGCATGTACCTTGGTTGCGGGCACATCCCCAGTAGGGGGAGTGCAGGAGGCAGCTGATCGATGTTTCTAACTCTCTATCCCTCTCTCTTCCTCTCTGTAAAAAATCAATAAAATATATTTTAAAAAAATAAAAAGAAGAGTTTCCATTTGCTGACCCTATTAAGGCATTCCGAGTTACCCACCTAGCCTCCTCTTGGGGTGTTACCGCCTGTAACAGTCACCCCATTAGTCAACACCCTCTCACAGAATCACCAAGCCCCACAGTGATAGAGGCTGCTGGGAACTTCTATGAAAAGCAGGACGGAGGCACCCAGATCCGTCGTCTATGCCCCTTCCGACAAGATCACAGACTTTGTCTCCAAGCCCGCTTGGATCCGTGGGAGAGCTAACTGTAGATGTTTGATGGACACACTGATTTAGTAGAAGTGACAAGGCGACCAAAGCGAGCGGGAAAGGGGCAGGAGAAAGATATTGGAAAGATACCGCCTCTGAAGGGCCTGGTGTGACCTTTAACCAAGGGCCAAATCCCACAGAGACCAGGTCTGTGAATGAATGAAGCTGACCGGGTAATAGGGAGTGGTGGGGACTGTGGCTAAAGGGCCTGTCTAAAGGGGGCAGCTCTCTCAGCTGCAGCTCTTTGTTACTCTGTGGGCACATTGGCCCCCATGTAGCCAGATCTCACCGTTTCCCAAAAGAGGCTGGAAATACAGGTTCTCATAGGACAGCCCAGGTTTCTAAAACATGTGGGCCACATCAAACTGGTTTTCGAACCGGCTGTGGCCCACAAGGCCATGTAGCTATCACCTTAGCCGATGCAAGGGAGCTCACGCTGGCTTTTCGGGGGTAGGGGAGAGGGGAGGCATGGAAAGGGATATGATAACATCTGTACTTTAGAAAAATCCCAGTGCCGCGTGTGGGAGAGGAATTACAGGGAACGGACCAGAGGAGAGGAAACCAGTTGGGAAATGCGGCCCTTTCGGCAGCTGGGAGGTGGCAGGGGTCCAAGCGAGGCCGGCGGGGGCCGTAGAGAAGGTTGATGGGGCGTCTGGGATTCAGGGGGAAGAATTCTATCTGCCTCTGGCACAGGGCAGGCATTCCCTCGCTGGCTCCCTCTCCTCTCACCCCTTCCCTACGCTGGGAGCCGAAGGCACAGGGCAGATAGATGATCTCAAAGACCAAAGGGACGGAAATTTTAGCCAAGACTCCGGCTGCAGCGCCGTCTAATTTTACCCACGGGTATTTTAGAGGTAGAACTCTCTTGACCATCTGCCCCAGCCCTCAGGCGCCCCCGCCAAATAAAAAACACACACATATATATATATATCCCGGAGTTTGGTTCTGCGGGGCAGCCAGCGGGAAGCTCGGAGCCAAACCCTCTTCTGCAAACAGCAGAGGGAGGCCGGGCTCCCACACAGGCTGGGCCGTGGAGACAGACCTCCGAGAAGTGGCTTGGGCTCATGTCACGGTCTTGCTGGTTGTGCAACCGGGTCACTTGTGTCCAGGGAGGGAGGGAGGCGAAGGGTAGGAGGTGGCGAGTGGAGGGGAGGGAAGGCCCACGCACTTCAAAGAAAACACTTTTTAGCGGCCCAAGAGTGTGGCTTTGACCGCAGTCTTTCCTCTGCCGACCCTTCTGGGTTTTGAGGGCCACGTTTTCGGGCGTGGGCACAGGAAATGGCCCTGCGCCGCCCTGGTTTTGCCTCTCTGGTTTTGGGCAGCGCCCCGAGGGCCCCCTGGGATGAGGGAGAGGACGGGGGCAGTCAGGCAAAGGTTAGGGAGGGAAGCAAAGCGGAGGCCCCGGACGGACGGGAGGGCTCCCTCCGGGAAATGTTTGTATTCCTCCTCCGGAGGGAGGGAGGGAGGACAAACAAGCTCTTTCGGTGCCTCCCGGGCAGCCAGCTTTGCGCGCTCCGGCGCAGCGCCCGCGCGGAGCAAGAGCCGAGCGAGGCTTGCGAGGACAAACGCGTCTCCCGATTCCTCTCCAGCATGAACCGCGCGGGGCCTG